GTAGACAGGCAATAGAGGAAGGTCAGTTGTACCTCTGATCTTAGGCCAGATCTTATTCCTCCAAGTGTCGACACAAACAGCCAGAGCCAGACCTGATGCCAGCAGAAAAAGCAACCTCAAAGAGCTCAGAGCAAAAAACCTGAGAAGAGATCAGAAAGACTGTAGTCCATTATTTATACTCTTTTTAAATGTTTTCATCATGAAATAACCTTGAATAAAGGCTTTTTGATCATTTTAGTGAAGTGTCTTGAATCATTGTTTTTTATGGATTACAATGTGTGCTTTATACGGCATCAGCAGCTCTGTTGTGGAATCTCTGACCAAAACCTTGTGATGGCATCTGTCATGCATTTATCATGCGGAATATATGAGGAAACCTTTGTTACACAGGTGTTTCCGGCCCCAGTGTCTTCCTGTGCAAATCTCAGAGACAGCGTGTGCTGCACAAGCAGTTGTGATTTCCGACAGTTTCGCTGCATGGCTAATTACTGCTATGTGCTACAGTACTTGGCCAAAAGGTGAGCCGCCACTGAGACCAGGCTGAATTCTACTGATCTCTCGGTGTGGAACCAGACAGCGAATGCTGTTTGATGACTGGACCAAACAGCATTCGCACATTGACCTGTCAAAACCACTACAACCAAATTTAAGTGGAGGGTTGAAATGTTCTGAGATGATGGTAAGACTTTATTTCTGAATGGCCTGGGCTATGGTTAAAAAATGATAAATAAACATCTTTACAAGCACAGAAATGCCACAAGCGGTTCCTCTGCTGTTCACTGAGGCAAATAAAAGGAGATAATAAGATCAGGGAGAATATTTCTCTGATGGAGAGGGCGACTGCACTAAGTGAATGAAGACTGCATGCCTGAACGATAAAAAAAAAAAGAGATTGAGCCATCCAACCTACAAAAAATTCTTCCCTGCACATCTTTCCCTCCTGAAGCATTTCATCTAAAGCTTTTCAGACTTATTGAGCACCCTTTATAGCAAATAGCCAACATGAAATCTCATTCCCAACTAATTTTACTTCTATAATGTCACATATTTCCATAAAAGGAGGCAAAATTTTTAGGACTTTATCCATTAAGGATTTGAATAGGATGGCAAAAAGTGGGTGTTACGTATCAGTATGGAGCCTTAAAGCAAATTTGCATAACAAATTCTTAAATATTAATTTCAGACGAAGAGCACGTTGTTACATTTCGATTAAAGTAGGGCTGCAAAACGTCTGATCACATTCAAAATAAAAGTTTTTTTTACATACAATATGTGTGTGTACTCTGTATATTTACTATACATACATGTGTATATTAAGGAAAAATTATAGAATTATATACAAAACATTTATATATATATATATATATATAATATAAATTATATACAAGTATTAATATATACATACAAATATTTTTTTTAATATATAAAAAGGTGTGTGTATTTATATATACATAATATATATACACAGTATACACACATATAGTATGCAAACAAACTTTTATTTTGAATGCGATTAATCACGATTAATCGTTTTGCAGCCCTAGATTAAAGATTACAGAGGCAAACAATTTGTAATCTTTGTAGTAAGTGCACAAATAAAATGACTCATAATAAAACCAGGACATGCATTAAGCAAGTAAATAGTGTCCACTTTGAACTTATGTTGATTTTAAAAGCACAAAAGTGTGTATTAACAGCACATGGCTTCCCAAGTTAGGCTGGCCTGAGAAAAGTCTTAAGGCATGAACAAGAAATCATACAACTGTAAGGCCAGGCCCAACAAACCGGTTTGGGAATATAACACATTAGTTGGCATTATTATTCAATTTTAACTAATAATAAAAAAAAAAATAATATTTATTGTAAATCCTTTAATAAAGTTAATATTAAATATTAATAACATCATGATTCATATATTACTAATATAGTGATATGATACTAATATTATAGTAATGTGTGTGTGTGGTAGTGTCTCTCATAGTGCTATGCAGTTATCTACTGTCTACATTAATAACTGACAGTAGGAGGTTGAAGACAACATGCAACATATATAGGCCACAGAAATCCAGTGCAAACTGATCTCTGCTTAACATGCCTTAGTAAAGGCTGTCAAACATGGCACTAGACTTGTGCCGGTATTCGGTCAGCACTTTTTAAAACTAAATTTCAATATCGTGATAATACCGTATACCGTGATAAACGCATTAGCAATTAATCGCAACATGAAAATTGTATACCGGCATATCCCTACATGGCACCTAATACAAGATTAAACTTAATTGTTCCGTCAATCACAAAGTAATTCACAAAACACAAAGTGTGTGAATACAGCATTGTGTTTACAGTAGCACCAATACAGCCAAATACAACAATACACTGTCTAAATATAGGCACCCAGCCTGACCATCTGTTCCTTATCTTAAATTAAAGGGGTAAAAGTCTGGAACACGTCGGTACGTATGCATCCAGATAAAACAAGAAAGGCTTATACAAGATCCTCAAAATGTTCGTGAATAACGTAAACGTTTCAACTGAACGCGCTAGGTTGTAAACAGAACCCGGGTGGAGATAACGTTAAATCCATGGAGATAACGCTCATCCACTCACCAGAACGTGACATTGGCGGCCGTGTACAGTAGGACGCTGTGAAAGGGTCTCTCCCACAATAATACAGACTGCAGATAGGTGAGCAGGCGCTCGTGGGGTCCCAGCCGCTCCAGCAGCGTTGCTTTCACGGCGCGGAGCTGCTCTTGACTCTCGCCGGAGCACGAGCCGCTCCGGAGGCCGACGCGCGAGCGCAGTTTCCCCGCACAACCGCTCCCTTCAGCCGCGTCTTCCGCTCCAGCCATACTTACGCGTTTGGAAAAACGTGACAGCAGAAATAGCAACAAAATCTAGAATAACAGAGTGCTGAAAATAAACCCCGTGGTTTAGAAACGATCTGGATGTATGTATCGCTAGCTAGCTTTAGCCTGAAGCCGCTCAGGGCAGACCTCGTGCGAGGCTGCCGCCGTTGATACAGAGCAAATGTGAAATAAAACACATTTTTTGGGTCTGGTTTGCTATATTTTTACGTTTAAGTGTCTGCACAGGTCTTTTTTATGTTGTCACCGTGCTGCTGTCATGTCAAGTCGTTGTTTTTGTCGCGGGAGCAACAGCGCGAGCTGCGGAGGGCGGGCTTGATCTGGCCAATGGCTTCAGGATTACAGTCAGAGTCAGAGCTGGAGAATAACAACCAACACCTCGCAGTCAGATCTCTCTTCAGATGCCTCCAACAATCGTTCGTGAAGAACTCTCAAAATGTCCCAAACAAAAACTACATGTTTGTTTGTTATAAAAGGGTGTCATAAGCGTAAACTCTACTAATAAATCAATTATTAGTAGGATTATTGGCATAGAATACAGGTAACTTTGATAGGAAGATTTCGATTTTACAGTATGGTTTATAAAACAGTAAGATATATACAAGCCCAAATATCTCTTATAATTATAATTTATATAAAAGAAATACTAAAGATATTTTGGATTTTATTTGAAAGGTTTATGCATTATACTTGAGTGCAGAGGTGCCCACATTTTTCACCATGAAGGACCAAAAATCCAACTTGATTGAGGGCCGAGGGCCAACAGTGAATGTTTCATTATATCAAAATTAAAATTTCATTAAAAAAAAAAATCAAATTCACTTCCAGTACATTCTCTACATTTTAATGCAAAAATAAAACAAAATCTATTAAATTAGAAAGGTAAGGACAAATTATAAATGTAGATATGCTCCAATTACACACACACACACGTTTGTTTCTGTGAATTGTGGGGACTTTCCATAGACTTCTATTACTTTTATAATGACCAAACAATATTTTCTATCCCCTAACCCTAAACCTACCCCTTACAGAAAACCTGTTTGCATTGTTACACTTTCAGATAAACATCATTTACTATTTGTAATCTTTTTTTTTTTTACTACAGGTCGGTCCCCACAGTCAAAGGTTTCAGGTTTTACTATCCTTGTGAGGACATTTGGTCCCCACAATGTAGCATAAACAAGCACACACACACACACACACACACACACACACACTTATAGCTTATATTTGTTTAGTACATTTTTAAATTAATGTAAAAACTAAAATGAATTGTAAAACTGAAAATTATTTTTTTAATTGTGTTCAGCATGGTGGGCCGCATTTGAATTTGTGACGGGCCACATGCCACTGCCCTAACCCTAAACCTACCCCTTACAGAAAACCTGTTTGCATTGTTACACTTTCAGATAAACATCATTTACTATTTGTAATCTTTTTTTTTTTTACTACAGGTCGGTCCCCACAGTCAAAGGTTTCAGGTTTTACTATCCTTGTGAGGACATTTGGTCCCCACAATGTAGCATAAACAAGCACACACACACACACACACACACACACACACATATATATATATATATGCAGATTATTTTATTATTTTCTCAAACAGAATAAATGGGTCTGTTTGCATGATGTAATCATATAAATAAATGATATAAATTAATGCGTTTTATAAAGAATCTTAAGGAGATTGTGATATTTGGGAATCCTTGGCATCAAAATGTTTGAAAACCCTTTATATAAAAATAAATAGTAAACTTGTTGCATTTTGCCAACAGTGATTTAGTGACTACAATTATCACACTAATACAATATATTAAATTAAGGCAATAAATAAAAAAAATGTTGCTATACACTGAGAAATGTAACAAATAACCTGCCATTTAAACCTGGCCTGGATGTCTTTCCTCTGTTTGCGCAACTGACGCGCAGCTTTGATGTTGTTTAATGTAAACGCATACATCCTACGTCCTGCATTACGTCAGTGATGCTGTCTGTCTGTTCTTTCTGCTTGTTTGTGTATTTATTTTTCACTTATTTCGATAAAGAGTTCTTTCGGTACATTTTCAGCAAGTATCGATCGGTTCACGTTTGCTGGCCTTCACATTGTGAAAGTATAGAGGGCCGACGACTGCGCATGCGCAATGCGTGTCCGTTGGGCCGTTGCTGTTGGAGCGGGAATACGCATAGTGGTTGACTGACAGCAGCACAGCACATCTCTCACCTTTACTGGTCCTACAGCTGAAATAACAGCACAGCATGCCTCGAGAAATCATCACCCTGCAGCTCGGACAGTGCGGGAATCAGAGTGAGCCATTCGCTGTGTATCACGCTCTGTTTGATGGTCTCTACATAAACAGTTAGCTAGCTAGCTATCACACTGGATAGCTTAGCTTTGAAATGACAGTAGATACAGTCGATATGGTTTTGGTTGTTTATTGGAGCTTTTCGTCAGCAAGAAGTCAAAAACGTATTCACTAGTTTCCACTTATTGATTAGTCTTAATTGTTGTTTGCTAATTAGTAATGATAATTATTTAATGCTGTCAGTTGGAGATAACTAATGAATCAAATTGTAATGTAACCAACCTGACCATCTAACTTTGTGTGTTTATGTATGCACATAATTCTAAACGCTGCTTTGTATTATTTACAGTCACGTTTGGCAGCTTTAGCTTACGTTAGAGGGACTTGCATTGTGTTTATCTTTTACTCTGAGCAATATGGGCATCATATATAGTGTGAGTCTCATGTGAGCTGAGACTGTGTCAGACTTGGTCATTGAAGGCAAATGATCACTGAGTGCAAGATTTGATTTCTATCAAAGATGTGGTATAAACAATAGCCATTACATTAATATTCTTAAATCACACCGCTATATAATGACATGACAATAGCTTACAGCCTTTTTACAACTGTTGTTAAGAATCCAGCATTAATGGACTGAATGGTGTGTTTTCTCTCTCTCTGTGCAGTTGGTTTTGAGTTTTGGAAGCAACTGTGTGCTGAGCATGGCATCAGCCCGGAGGGCATCGTAGAGGAGTTTGCCACTGAGGGTACAGACCGGAAAGATGTCTTCTTCTATCAGGTACACAAATATACAGGTGCATCTCAATAAATTAGAATGTCGTGGATTGAATTTATTTAATACACGAGTTTCACAATTTGAGTTGAATTACTGAAATAAATGAACTTTTCCACGACATTCTAATTTATTGAGATGCACCTGTAGACTAATAAGGAGCTAATCAATCACCAACCATGATCAACACATCAAGATTGCTGCTCTAAAGTCTATGTTTTATTCAGCGATATAAACCATTGAGTTTGTATATAGACACCTATCTTATCATCAAGACAACAAGCAACATACGGATAGTATTACAATGGCTACTCTGCCATTGTGGCCAGTATGAACAATTTCAGTTTAAATTTTAAAGTACTTCTCTAGCATGATTGTGTTTACATACAATATTGCCAAAACATTATACACAAAAAAGGTAATCAAGAAAAATAAATACTACAGTAACAAACAAGTGCAATACAAATACTATTAAAGCAAAGTTCTAAGTAATAAATAAAATAACATAATAAAATATAGTGTATATGATATAAAAAACTTTTAAAATAAAATGTAATATCTCACTAAGATTCTTCATTGTTAGTTAGGATTTCACATAATTAACCACCAGATGGCGCTAGGTTCCCATGTTTGCAGCTGTTGTAAGTCCATTATCCCTCTGCAATCATGTGGAGGCCTTTTCACAATCTGATGGAAAATTGATTTGAAATAAATGGCACAGCTTCTAGTTCCATTTTTTCGGAACAAAAGACTATTCCAATTAAAGAACAAAATTAGTTATTTCACAGAAACTGCAGTGAAGTCCTAATGTTTTCAATGGGACTGCTTATATTTCTTCTGAAATAAGGCATTACGTGTTAAAGCTCTCTTCTGATGTGAATAGATTGTGTGAGTCACAGTATTATAGTCATTTCCTCTGTATTATGGCTAGCTGTGTGGTATGTAAAGTAGTGATCTACTGATATAGATTTTTTTTTATGGTGATGCCAATATCTTAGAGAGCAGGGTGGCCTATGAAAACTGTATATATATGTGTGTGTGGAATATATGTGAAATCTGTAAAATAAATAGATTTATACTTCTTGATATCAAAGTCTTGATTCTAGAATCTTATTCTAGTATTTTCACAAATAAAGAAATTTAATCTGCCCCGTCACGGAGGCTATAAAATGCACACGTCCAAGGAACTAACTGCTAGATTCGCAAACTTTTGTGTGTTTCGTGGAATTAAATATTTAATAGTAATTCAAAGACTTGTTTAAATTATGTGTATTTGCTTGGATATGAGAAGGTATTATTGCATTTGCCTTTCTATTAATGCACTGACTGTCATCACTGTCGAAATAAAAGTTCCCCTTCTGACAACTATAGACAGAAAAGATTTGTTGATCGATGCCGATAAATAAAAGATGCCAATTATCTGCCTGCCAATATATCAGCCTTGCTTATACATCGTTCAGCCACTAATGTAAAGCAACAGTAGTCAGTCTACTGATATCATACATTCTAAGATATATTTTGGGATTCGCATGGATGCTTTCATTTTGCAGTCTCAAGCTGCACAAGTAATCATAAGCATCTTGAGTACTTCTCATTTTTGAAATTGAGCCTCCATTTGTCCTTTCCTTGTAAGGAGTATTGAGAAGCACTTATGGAAATGTAATCTTTTTCTCCTCTGTTTTGCCCCCCTCAGGCAGATGATGAGCACTACATCCCTCGTGCTGTGCTGTTGGACCTGGAGCCCCGAGTCATCCACACCATCCTGAACTCTCCCTATGCCAACCTGTACAACCCGGAGAACATCTACCTGTCTGAGCATGGCGGTGGAGCCGGTAACAACTGGGCCAGTGGCTTCTCTCAGGTACACTGAGTGATGTTAGACATCAGATAATTGCTGACTTTTATTTTAGGTAAAATTTCTGTTATGTTTTAGGTGATCTAACTTGTCATCATTCCTTTGAAGTTTTTCACTTTGTTTAGTCACTTTTTTTGCTGTTCATATACAGTAGTGTGACAATTTCATTTTTAATTAGATATTAATAATGACTATTACAGATATTTAATGCAGTCTCTCGTAGGGCTGGACAATAATTCAATATCAATATGTATCGCGATCATACTTAGGTAAATTTTCAGCATCATTACTCCGGTCTTCAGTGTCACATGATCCTTCAGAAATCATTCTAATATGCTGATTTGCTGATTATCAATATTTAAAACAGTTGAGTTTTAAATATTGATTTTAAACAGTTGAGTTGAGTACATGAAATAAAAAGCTTTTGTAACATTATACACTATTCCATTCAGTATAATTTTTATTATTTTTTTGGGAAAGAAATTATAGAAATTAATACTTATTTAGCAAGGATGCTTAAAATTGATCAAAAGTTATGATAAAGGCATTTATAATGTTACAAAAGATTTCTATTTCAGATAAATAGTGTTCATATCGATATCGGAATTATATCGTATCGACCGAAATTAAGAAATATACCGTGATATAAATTTTGGCCATATCGTCCAGCCCTAGTCTCTCGGGGCCTGAATTTTGGTTTGGGATTGTGGAAACTGGTCATAATTTTACATGATTTTTTCCTGCAAGTTTTGCGCTTATAATGCAACATTTATTCAATGGCATGTAGGTTGAATTAGCAAATTGTTCCAAACAGATCAAATCAGTAATTTGAAATCTTTCTGTCAGACTGTAATTTCACAGTGATTCGGCATTTCTGTAGTTTTGTGTCTATGAGAGTGTGAAGGCTGATAATTAAAACAGCCTCCGTTCCTGTTAGACTCGGTGATACCGGTTATACTTGCTACAATTGGGATGATGTACCGTTCCTATATTAATAGTCAAATGAACAGAACATCCTTAAATAATGTGTCAGAGATGTGTTCTTTATCGACGAGTCAAAACCACAAGCAGCACAGGCTCGCACTAACAGATATTGATATTTTTCCAGTTTCAGTTTTAGTTAAAATAAATTCAGAGTTTGAAAGCTAATGCCTTTTCGCTCTGTGTAAGCAGTTGCACAAGAAAATGACCCCATTTCATAATTTAGCGAAAGTTGTACGCTTTTAAATGTATGTATCTTTCTAACAATATAAATATGATTCAGCACATTGCATCAATTGTAGGTACACAAGTGTGATTAAACATTTAGGTGATATAATTTCTTAACAAATTATGCCATTTTCCAAAACAAAATTCAATTATGATGTGGTCAAACAACAGATATATAATAATTGAAAGGGAAAAAAGTACAGGTTCATGTTTAACAACTTTAACTTGTTTTAGTAATTAAAATGTGGTGGTCAATATATTTGTTCATTTCAGGGAGAAAAAATCCACGAGGATATCTTTGACATCATTGACAGAGAGGCAGATGGCAGTGACAGTCTGGAGGTATGATTCTCAATGACTGTACTCTTCTTTGTGCATTATGAATGGGTTGGTTTTTACCCTTTAGTTGTGTGTCATTCATTAATACCATTTTCTCTGACTTTTGAAGAACATTTGGGTTTTTAAACAGATTGAGTTTTTAAACAAAGTAAAACACTTTCTGATGATCTCCAGATGGTAAAGTGACGTACCTCCATTTGTTTTCCATTGCTTTTTTTCCCTCCTGCACCCCTTTCTACGGTGCTTTTTTAGATTGCAGACATACATAGACCTATGTATACATATAGCTACATTTATATTATATATTTGTATACGATTGTCCACAGACGGTTATACAAAAGTGCTATTTTATGCCTTTTTTGCACTCTTAATTTACAAGATACAGATGTTCCTCCCATTAAAACAACAGACTCAGCCCTCCCTTCGTAATCTGTGTCGTTCACTTTATTACCCACAATTACTGGTGTGCGCGTGCCGTGCACATGTATAACTTGTATGTAACTGGAGGTTAGGGAGTGGTTTGGAGGATGGTGTTACCAGTCAGTTAGTTGCATGCATGTGTGTGTGCGTGTAGCATATTATGCTAACTGCTGAAAGGTGAGTGACTGTCACAAAGACTAGTTAGAGCTTGGGGCAAAAAAATTCCCCAGATATTTAAAATGTGGGGGCAAAAAACACTCCCTCAATTTACCCAACATGTGATGTATTTCACGATATTCTGAGAGGAAGATTGTGATAGAATTGACCATATTGTTTATTTTTGGCTTAATTATACCTTTAAAATATATTCCAGCTAAGCGTTTCTTTTTTCTAAACAAAAAATAATGATTTAACCTAACTCCCTGTTAAGTGAAATATTAAGTCAAATAATTCCGTTGTAGTATTGTGAAATATTAGTATAATTAAAATGTTAATTTTTGAAATGTAATTTATTCCTGTGATGCAAAGCTGAATTTTCAGCATCATTACTCCAGTCTTCAGTGTCACATGATCCTTCAGAAATCATTCTAATATACTGATTTGCTGCTTAAGAAACATTTCTTATCACTGTTGAAAAGCAGTTGTGCGGCTTAATATTTTTGTGGAAACTGATATTTTCTTCAGGATTCTTTGAAAAGTAAAACATTATAAATGTCTTTATTGACTGTGTTTACATGTGCACCAATAATGTGATTATTTCCAATCAGAGTAAGGACTTAATTGCAGTCAGATGTTTACATGACGTATGCAAACCTCTTTACTCCAGTTTACATGCAATTTTCATTATTCTGAAGTGTCGTTATTTCTTAACGTCATTATTCGCAAACCCCACAACAGAAATTATGAACTCACTCACATACATTAGGTGTGTCACTGGCCAAATACATCAAAAGCAAAACATGACTACAGATGTATTGGAAGGTATTCAGTGTCATGATGAACTTTGCAATGTCTTTGATTTTAAGTTCTGTTAAAATCAATGAATCTCTACACTGTACAGTGAATCACAATGCACAAGATGTCTACACTTTGTTTGTTATAAAGAGAGGATTTGCAAACTTGTGTAACTCAGCAATGAACAAAACGTTGTGTTTTGAGGGTGCTGAGAGTGCTCTTGTTTTCATTTGAGGGTGATTAGCACCCCCGTAGAGCCGGGCCTGCTTAACAATAATGTCAAGGAGTTCATTCGTGTAGTTGTGTGAACAACACGTCCAACACATGCACACTTTGGTCAGAACTGTAATAATGGGATTAAGGTGTTTAAATTCCTATTTATTGCAGTTAGAATCGGCATACACCACATATTTTAATACAAGTATGCTTACTATGATCATGAGCTTAATCCCATTATTTTGATAGAAGTATTGTGTTTACATCATGTATAGTTTAATCGCAATATTGCCAAAATCCCATTATAATTGCATCATGAGTGTGCATGTATATGCACTGATTATCACTATTAATCAATTGAACAGAATAAGTGTTTAATTTCGTTCAAAATAACGTTTACTGAAATTACTTTGCTTTTTTATATATAATTTGAAAGAATATGTCTTCATTAAGGCTAAAAATGTCTCTGACCATCAGTTCTAGTGGGGTAAATTTTCCATTGATAAACTGACAGCGTTAAGCTATTTGAGACCAAAGAACAGTTATTCTTTCTGGTCACAGTTAGCATCTAAAGCACCTTAGTACTCCTATAGATGTGTTTTATATGTTAAACATTCTGTTTTTGTGTTTTTTTTTAAGGGGTTTGTGCTTTGCCACTCTATCGCCGGGGGAACAGGATCTGGTCTCGGGTCCTACCTACTGGAGCGACTGAACGACAGGTGCGAAAACACAATTCACTGATACAGGACTTTGAATCCCGCTGCTCTGACTGATTTTGCAGTCCACACTCCCTCTCCTGAAGCACAGATCCACGCCCTCTGCATTGTTCGTCTAGACTTGCAATCATGAAGCGTTTGGGTGGCAGTCAGTGTAATTAGAGGGAGATGCAGGCGGCAGCGGCCATCACCGGGTGTAATTACCTCTCTTTAGGGGTGTGTTTAATACCATTGCGTGTGCAACCTCAAGGGCACCAGCGGCGCTCAGCTGGGCGCGTGTTCTTGTGTCTTTTTTAGGTATCCTAAAAAACTGGTTCAGACCTACTCTGTCTTTCCTAACCAAGATGAGATGAGTGATGTTGTCGTACAGCCGTATAATTCTCTTCTGACGCTAAAGAGACTGACCCAGAATGCAGACTGTGTGGTGAGTGAATGAACACATGCACATATACACACATGCGCGCGTGCACACACACACTGTCTCTTAACCTTTTCAGCTGGCCTAGAATTCGGGAGGAGGTGTTACACACCCGTACACACACACACACACACACACACACACACACACTCCAGGGTTGTGGATCTTAAATGAATGTGTTTCTATTTGAAACAGAGCCCCTCTCATATACAGCCTGCTACTCTAACTGCACATTTCCTCAGTTACACAATCCACCTTCCCAAACAGACCTTCTTTCTTCCTCTCCTGCTTTCATTCCCCAAACAGCAGCGGATGGAGAAAAGAGGGTCAGTCCTATGTGATTATCCACTTCTCTCCTTCCATTTCCTCCTTATTAACAATAGCTTGGTCCCTGGGTTCATTTCATAAACCATGCAGAGTACTGTCATATCTGTACATCTGGACTGTATGTAAGTAGATATGTCAACAACACTTTCTATTTTACTTTCATACTGATATCCATCAGCACATGATTGAGCAGATATTTATTCAACAAACACATCCTATTGACTCTCTGAGGAGCCAGTAATTGTGTTTGTATATCCTTATTTGAGTTTTAAAGGGATTTATGGGTTTGATCACCAGAGCAAAAGACTAAAGCATTACATCATTATTCATATATCCAGCTAATCTCTATGTGTGAGGGCTGCTGTTCAGAATAGATTGGGCTTTAGTAGAGCAAATGTCATTAGTAAAGGGTAAGATCTGTTTTATGCATATTGTGTTTCTTGCAGCTGTCTGCTAGCTTCATTATCGTCTCTGGCAGATATAATAATGTCAGATTAGAGAGTCAGCACAAAAGATGAGGAGGTTAATAGAGGTAGATGACTTTCTGTCTTTCTTTGATGAGAATACAGATCTAGAGTTAACGCCAAGTCTGAGGTATTATTCTTAACTCTTAATTAAAAAGAAAGATATTTCTGTCAAAATTTGTTCACCACCATTTTGTTCTAAACCCATTAGACTTTGCTTATCTTCGAAACAAATTTAAATTAAATCAAGCAAGATTTCTGTTCTTCCTTTAAAAAGTCAGTTTCACCCAAATATTCCGGCTCTACGATATATATTGTATAAATGTAATACAAATTAGGGACAAAGTTCATTTTAAAGGGATAGTTCACCCAAAAATCATTAATTACTCATACAACTGCCGGATAGCAAATAACCACAATAAAAGCCAGGTGTAAATGACCAAGACACATTGATTTTGAAAGCATTTGGCGATCGGATCAATGGAACCACATTCGGAGGTGGTCAGGGATGGATTCTGACCACATTCAATGTAAATGCTAATGCGCTTTCGTTATTTGTATACAGCCACTTGAGTGATGTGCTGCAAATAATCATTATCTGTCACTCAAAGAGTGAGTTTAAAATTTGTCAGGCTCTGTTTATTTCCATCTGTCATTGATATGATTCATGGTTTTCTGTAGCAGGAGCTCATTTAATCTTGCCAAGTGTTATGCTGCGGGTTATTGGATTCTTCTTTTTATTTACTATCACAATGTAAAAAAAAAAACAAGACATTGGGGTCATGTTATCTGGTCAACTGATTAAATGAACAATAACCTGTGAATTATCCATTTGAATCTCTCGTTTCTCTCTCCAGATTTCCTTGTACATTTGCATGTAGCCACTGTAAACTTTCTTTTTCTTTTCACTTCTAATTCCTATTTAGCAACCTTTACTGTAAGAATCTTAAAGGGATAGTTCACCCAAAAATCATTAATTACTCACCCTCATGTCGTTCCAGACCCATAAGACCTTTGTTCAACTTCAGAAAAATATCTTCATTTGTGTTCCAAAGATGAAGGAAGGTCTTACATGTTTGGAATGACATGAGGGTGAGCAAGAATTTTCATTTTTAGGTGAACTATCCCTTTAAGATTCAGTTTCTTTCAGTTCATTAGCTGAAATTTGAATAAAATTGGCTAAGAAACATCATATTGAACTTGGAATATTCATTGGTACTCAACAAGGTTTGCAAAAAAACGAAAAAAACAAAAATCTAACAATCATCAGCATGGTCAAAAAATTTACGCAGCCATCAAAAGAGTGTATAATTCTTCCATACCACATAATATTAACCACGTTGTTTTCAGATGAAAATAAATATTGATATAAAATTCTGTTGGAAAAATAAATATTGACATTGTTCTACACTGACTGTAAGCAAGATGGCAATTCTTGATACAACTCACAACAATGAATTTCTTTCATTCTGATTCCACTTCTTTAAATTTACATTTATTCATTTGGCAGACACTGTTATCTAAAGCGACTTGTGGTGTTTTTAAGACAAACCTTGTATCTATTTTTGTTTTATGGAAATTAAACCCATGACCTTGCCAATGTTAGCGTCTTGCTCTACCAGTTGAGTGTTGCTTAGTTCTGCAAGATTCTCTATTTTCTCATTTGAATTACAATTTTAAATACTGTTGCTATCTTAATTCACATTTAATTAGCATTGTCAATTCCATTCAAAATGGATTTGTCGACTCAGACTGCCTACAGATCTTAGGACCTGAGAAGACCTACAACACACAGTCTTGACATGTTGTTAAAAATCTTTTTCCTTTTCTTTCAGGTGGTGCTGGACAATACTGCTTTGAACAGAATCGCAACAGACCGGCTGCACATTCAGAAACCCTCATTCTCTCAGATCAACCAACTGGTGAGTTTAAAAAGTCTGTCATTTACAAATTAACGTGTGAAAATACAGGCAACATTCATCTGTCCTGAGCTGAGGCCTCCAACCCAGAGAGTGTCATTTTTAAAGCCCATCCCTGCGGCAGATAGAGGGACAGGCCTGGTGTGGTTCATGTAGGGACAGTAGAGTCACTCCTCATCTATTAATCACAGTTGGGCGCTGGCAGCTCTCCTGCGATAAGATCTGCATTTACATAATCCAGACAATCAGAAAATCAACCTAACTAAAGCCAGCCGTGAGTTTGATTTCGGTGTATATATATGCAAATGTCAAGAAAATGTATAAGCTAAACCACAAAATGTTGTTCTATCACAGCCGTATTGTATTATCTGCATAAAATCTGAAATGGCACAGCCTGTCAGTTTCGGGAGGATGAAACATGGGGAGTTGCCTGATCCGAAAGTTGTAATCAGCAGCCTGACATGCTGTTGTGTCACATTCTAATGAGTTGGTAATAAATAACCAGTGACATCCCGTGCAGCGCTCTCCTATGCTTTCCTCTTATACGCCCATTTTTATAGCACCCTGCTCCGAGGTGAATTGTTCACTTTGTCAACTCATCCATCACACCACAGTCACACCATTGACGGACAGAGGAGCATGCTGAGTGCGCACTCTCCTGAAGTCAACAACAATCTCCTTCTCCTTCATCACCTCTGAAAGACTCGGTCATATGAAATGGTGAACTTTAACAATACAGTGTGTAGATTTCTGTAAAGGGTGACCAGAGTGCAAATAGACAACCTGTTTCACCAGTCTAGGCTATTGCGTTTTTAAACACCAGCTGCTTTTACATATACGACACGTTTAGTGTCCCATTAGCACACCCAAATAATTAAGGCAACACAATATAAAATGAAAATAAAGGAGACTGGTCTATTTTTGGATTATCAAAAGACAAGTGTGCTTTTCTTTAACAGGTGTCCACTATAATGTCAGCAAGCACAACAACCCTCCGTTACCCTGGATATATGAACAATGATCTGATTGGTCTGATTGCATCACTCATCCCCACTCCCCGCCTCCACTTCCTCATGACTGGATACACACCGCTGACCACCGATCAGGCCGTAAGTTGGTCAAATGCAGGAATTTTCATCAAGATCCTTTGCAGAAATGCAAAGGCAGTTGCAACTCTGTTCAACTCACTATTGATTCCAGTAGTTTTATGTTAGCATGTTGCTGAGTTAATGACTCCGAGTACAAATGACTCATTTTTAATTACATCAAATTGATCTGTCACTCCCAAATAGTGTCTGTCACTGTCTGTCAGTTGGTTTTAATATTCTTCTTAAAATTTAACATCATCTTTTCAGGTGGCAAGTGTGAGGAAGACTACAGTTCTTGATGTGATGAGGAGACTCCTGCAGCCCAAGAACGTCATGGTGTCCACAGGCCGAGACCGTCAGACCAATCATTGCTACATTGCCATTCTCAACATCATTCAGGGAGAGGTGGACCCCACACAGGTGTGAGCATGTTAAATATACACCGCTTATTTTAAGTTATATGTGCATGTCCTCATGTTTATATGTTTATGCGTGTCTTTGCAGGTCCATAAGAGTCTGCAGAGAATCAGGGAGAGGAAGTTAGCTAATTTTATCCCATGGGGTCCGGCTAGTATTCAGGTGGCACTGTCCCGCCGATCCCCCTACCTGCCCTCAGCTCATCGTGTCAGTGGTCTTATGATGGCTAATCACACCAGCATCTCTTCAGTAAGACCTGACCCTAAATTCTCCATGTCTGTACTGCTCAAAAATAGGTTCTATATCAATTGGTATTGGATATACTAAGTTTGGGGTTAGTAAGATTTTTTTTTTATTTTTATTTTTTTATGTTTTTGAAGTCTCTTATGCTCATCAAGACTGCAATTATTAAATTAAAAATACAGTAATCAGTAATATTTTGAAATATTTTTACAATTTAAAATAACTTCTATTTTAGATTATTTATTTAAAATAAATAATATTTAAACTATTAAGACTATTTAAAATAATTTATTCCTGTTGCGGCAAGGTTGAATTTTCAGCATCATTACTCCAGTCCTCAGTGTCACATGATCCTTCAAAAATCATTCTAATATGCTGATTTGCTGCTTAAGTAACAGTTATTCTTATTTTTACTGTTGAAAGCAATTGTGACGCTAAATATGTGTGACGCTAAATATGACGCTATATTATTACAATTTTGTCTGAGGTAAATCAATAACAATTACATTTTTAACAATATTTCAAGTGTAATTTATGAGATTTGTTATATTTTGAATCCAATTTTTCTTTATAAAAGGCAAAAAGTTGATCATACTGATTTCAAAGTTAAGGATTCATTAGTGTGAATATACATTGAACCAGTAACTATCATAACATCTTAGTTGATAATACAGTATATTTTTGACAAAACATCCCATGTTTCGGTAGTGACTGCACATTTTTGGTTATGACAGTAATGCTTTGGTAACGACCACATCACATTACAGAATTTTAACTCGCATACTAAAACACAAAAAAAATAGCATAAATTGCTAAACTTTTGTTTATTTCCCCCAAATATGAGGATTATGTGTTCCCTTTTGTTACTACCGAAACAATGATGACATGTTTCGGTTGTGACTGTTTCAGTCGTGACAATTCTATGGGATAACACCAAAAAAAACAAAAAACAAAAACAAAGATGTCACTACCGAAACTCCACCAACTGTTTCGGTAGTGACAATTTTAGAAACTTTTGAACCTAGCGCAAAGATGCTAATCAGCACATGGTTAGCTAGCACAGATCTGAACAGTGATACACATATAAAAACTAAATGTTATGGAATAACTTCCAAAAAAGTGTGCGGTAGTGACGTTGCTTCAAGTTACACAGATTTTTACAGACTTTTGAACACATTTACCTCAAAATGATGGGACCTATCTACTCACACCTTGTAGATATGAGAGAGGGGGACACAGGAATATTTCCTGATCATAAATTTATGGGTGTAGTTAAAATCAGTCTCAGCCAGTGGACTAAACATAAGCTGTTTCGGTAGTGACATGAAAAATGTGGGACACATTTTTTTACATAGTGTCTGTTTACAAAGAAGAAGAAAAAATATATATATAATATATATATATATATATATATATATTTTTTTTTTTTCCCCAGTAAGTAATCAAAAAGATACTTTTAGAAACAGCAATAGAAAAAAATACAAAAAATATTTCAATATCATTTTCATAAGGGGTTAGGGACAGGCACCTCCCACTTGAAAGTACCCAATAAATGATGATTTTATATATATTAAGCTTACTAATGTTTTAAATATTATTTTGGGTATCAATAGGTAATAGAAGGATCCTAATAAACGGATTTGAACACTTAGATGCTTTTTAAATGTGTTTTTTGGTTGTGGGAAAGCAGTTTGCACCAATTCTGTAGAATGGCCCTTGTCCGTTATCAGCCATAAAAGGAGAATTATTATTTTAAATAATTATAATTAACATAGTAATTAATCACGTTAATTAGTTATTTTCTCAGAACCCCAAGCACCACTGAACAGGGTTTCCATGGTTATGAAAAACCAGGAAATATCAAGCAATTTTTAAAATTGTGATATCCAGGCCTGGAAAATTTATTCTATAGCAAATATAAGCTTGTCTGGTTATGCTCAACTCTAAAATAATTAATCAGCTAGACTGTCCAAGAGTGCAGTTGCTATGAAATGTTTTTAAAAATCCATATGCAGTAATTGCATCATGATTGGAAACTCATGGAAATTCATCGGTCAGAGATGTGGGGAAAAGCCTGACGTCTTGTATGTAGAAAGGCTAGATTTGAGCAGACTCTAATGTTTGTTCTCCTCTCCCTCACTCCTAGTTACTCTCGCGAGGTGGTTCAGCAGCTTGTGGACGAATACAGCGCCGCCACCCGTCCCGACTACATCTCCTGGGGCACACAAGAGCAGTGAAATCCCCTCCGCTCACTCCCTAAAGCTCTTAGAGCGGAAACAGGCAGGCATTGTAAAATACACAATGACTCCAGTAGAGCATAACAGAATTTCAGTAGTGAACGCACCTCCAGAGATCTTTCACGGCTCCCCATACTGTTCTGCCAGAGGCTTCTCTGCATTACCGCTTGCGTATGTACAGTATATACATGTCATTCGTTATGTTTACGGGCCTATAGAAGAGTTCTTCATAACCTGGTGCCTCTATCCTGAGCTGTAACTTTCACTCTTTCTCTCTCTCCTCCCGATTTCCTTGATTTCTTTGATCAGAGAATTTATGGCTCCGTCTTAATCTATTTTTGTACTGCACTCTGCACTCTTCTGCACAAATCTACATCAATCTACGTCAAGGTGGCCTGCACACAGACTTCCCTGACCACACACACGTTGGACGTCTACACCGATAAGACTGGGTGGTCTCAGATGAATGTAACCGTAGGGAGGGAGTGTGAAAGATTAAGCCTCTTAGAAGAGATCAGACTAGAAGCAGCTTATGAATACACCATCTCACTCCCTCACGTTCACGCATGCATGCTTTTAGACAAAAGGCGCCTGCTTTCAGGGGATAGACTATGATTGTGCGATTGAATCAATTTTCCTCTCGGTCTCGTTGTGGCGGATTACTCTCGAAGATTATCTTGAGTTTTTGAGAGACGATCAGTAAAGTCAAGTGTTATGCTATACCTCGATCCATCCAATCGGCGAACCCTCATCGGGTTCTTCAAGTCAATCAAATCAGTGAAGTTACCTCAAAGTCTGGCAGAATCAATCATACACCACAACCCAACGTTTCTTCATTTGAATAATTTATTCTTCGGCTCCAGTCTTCCTTGTGCTGGAGTGAAAGTTTCATGCCAGATTTCTGTCTCAATGCTTTTTTTCCCCCTCGGTTACCACATGTTCTTATTATTAATGTTATACTGTGTATATAGTTTGCTGTCAGACTTGATGCATTTACCTGAAGTTCATGAGTTTGAATAAATGTTTTTCTACAAGAATATTTCCATAGTGTGCAAATACTGATTACTCTCAAAACCATCTGCGCTCATGTCATAGTCACCCACATGGGTCATTTGACCTTAAAACACGAAATATCTCAGGAATTAATGCCTTCACCTTTGTTTACCTCTTTGGTCTTTTAGTCTCATATTCCAATACTTGCGACAGATACTGATAAGCTGAGTCAAGGACTTACTCTATATCAGGTGTGTCCAATCCTGCTCCTGGAGGGCTTGTTTAGCTCCAACCTGTCTTAACACACTTGTCTGGTAGTTTCTAGTAATCCTGAAGACCTTGATTAGCTGGTTAAGGTGTGTTTAATTAGGATAGGACACCCCACATGGTAGCAGTTACACTTTCTTCCAAAGTGTCTTCCAAAGAAGTTTCTGTTTCTTCCAAAGGTCGCAGACATTTCGTGTCTCTCCAGTGGAATTTTTTATTAGGGACACGCTGGTCCCAAAACGTAATTTCATCTATCAAATCAAGGGACCGTTTCTCAGAACTGCATGTTACTTTCCTTGTAACTGGCGTGTTTATTTTCAACAGTTGGTTTCAGTGGGGTTTTTAATCTTTTCTACTCAACATTATAGGATCTTGATGCCTGGTTTAGTTTAATGCATTTAATTTTATAATAAAGCTTGAAAACATGACAAACAGGCAAAACCCATCTAGATTTTGACTATTCATAACTGTTAGCAGTAGGGATGTCAATTTTCGATCATTTCCATGATTGATCGTCGTTTACATTAACGATCAATTAATCGATTAATCGCTAACTTTAATGCTGCAAAATGCGTCTATTGCAGCAGCACGCAGTCACCGGCATGACAGGATGTGCAAAAGCCACTCTAAAAAGCCCCGCTTTCTCACCCGAATTAAAGGGGTTTTAGTCTGAATAAAATGCTAGTAGCAGGATCGTAAAATGAATAGATGTGATTATGATCATTTGATAAAATGAAGAGAGCGCGCCGTACATTTGAGATCATCTTACTTTGTTGACTGTTTCCTATCCCGACACGGAGACCGCTGAACGCGCCTCTTTTAATGGTTTCGTGGTGCTCGTTATTGTATTTTAAAACACTATTGCAATGTTTTCTACTGACATTATGGCATTTAAAATAAAATCCAATCAATAAATGCATGTCTTTTTCACTTTGCCACAGCAGACTGTTAAAGTTCTAAGGGGTTTTAATGTTTGAATTAGGGATGTCAATTTTCGATCATTTCCATGATCGATCGTCGTTTAAATTAACGATAAATTAATTGATTAATCGTTAACCTTAATGCTGCAAAATGCGTCTATTGCAGCAGCACGCAGTCACCGGCATGACAGGATGTGCAAAAGCCACTCTAAAAAGCCCCGCTTTCTCACCCGAATTAAAGGGGTTTTAGTCTGAATAAAATGCTAGTAGCAGGATCGTAAAATGAATAGATGTGATTATGATCATTTGATAAAATTAAAAGAGCGCGCCGTACATTTGAGATCATTTTACTTTGTTGACTTTCCTATCCCGAGACGGAGACCGCTAAACTCGCCTCTTTTTACAAAATGAAACTACTTAATCGACCATCGATAGCTTTAATCGATTGCATCTCTTATCGACAATTAATCGATCACCGATTAATCGTTGACATACCTAGTTAGCAGTCAATACAAGTTATTTATAACATTTCTAAATATTATTACATGTATATTATTACTTAAATATACTAACAAATTAAGGCATTATGTTCTTCTAATATTTTTCTATAAATCTGCTTGAAAATAGTAAGCATATGGAGTGAAAAGCACTATATTCATGAAATTATATCACTTTAAAATATATACACTACTGTTTAAAAGTTTAGGGGTTCATAACGTTTTTAAATGTTTTTGAAAGAAGTTACAGAAGTTGCATTTATTTGATATAAACTAAAAATGAAAATAAAAAAAAGTTATAGTGTGAAATATTACAATTGAAATAATTGTTTTTATGCAAATATGTACAATATACAATATACAAATTGTAATTTATTCCTGTGATGGCAAAGCTGAATTTTCACCAGCGATTAATCAAGTCTTCTATTGCAAACAGTTGTGCTGCTTAATATTTTTGTGTAAACCGTGATGCATTTTTTTTTTCAGGATTAATGAATAGAAAGTTAAAAGAACAGCATAATAAATAGGCCTAAAATAAATATACACCGTACACACACATAAACAAAAACTTTTATTTTGGATGTGATTAATCATTTGACAATATATATATATATATATATATTATATTTTTTTGTAAAATATAGTTTTGCTGTCACTTTTTTATCAATTTAATGTATCTTTGGTGAATAAAGTATTACTTCATAAATACGTAATATACTAATAATATAGTATTTTTTATTTTCCACATAAACAGCATATCTGACACTCATGTGATGTTGTAATGGTGCTGCTTTTTATTACATACAGTATTCATCATTTTGCATTATTGCACATTTAAGTTAGCTGTACAAGCAATAGTGCAATTGACTATTACACGTGTAACATAATAAAGGTACCATGCAGCATACAAACCATCTAAAGCATCAGAGGTTGTCGTTCGAGTTTTGTTACATGTATGACAATGGGCGGAGCTGCCTGCAGCTAAAGAGTGACAAGAAGAGAACACAAAAGCACGTAACAACCGCTACTGCCATCACAGGGGCTGTAGGAGCAAAAGACAAAAACCAAAATAAACAACATTGAAAATGTGATTGCCCTCCACCTTTGAATTTCAAGTAGCTGGTAACCTTTTCTCAGATGTGTATTCAGGCAGACAAGCTGACCTAGAGCAAAGATAGTGCACAACCAAAACAAAGAGCCTGATTATGGAGTACGAGTGAATTAAAGATTGTACAGACTGTCGGACAGGCACTAGTGGCTCCTCTTTAGGCAACCTAAAGCCCCATACCGAAAATGGGCTCATACTAAGGACATCTGGGCAGGTTTTATTGCTTCCGTAATAGTTTGGCAGTCATTTGATGGGGGAAAAATAAAAGAAAACGAGGGGAAGAAGCCTCCAACCCCTAGATATTTGGTCCATGTGACTTTAAAAGGGGCGAATAACTCTTCATTTTTTAGTTATGACAAAATGTCAATAATCCTACTGGATATACAAAAACGGATCACTTGCCATATGTAGACCTCTCGCGACGGGGGGGAAATAAATGATAAATTATCAAAACAGTAAATAAACATTATGACATATTTTAACTATGACGTCATCTGCTCTTTTGTAATTATTTAAATGCAAGCACTAAAATACAAATACAGGTCTTTATGAAAGATATATAAAACAAAAGTAAAAAGGACAATAAAAAGTAACTTCCACACAATGTATACAACAGACAGCCATAAATAAAACTAGAGAAAAGTAACACACATTAAAGAAGGACAATATTAACTCCCAGCAGATAAAAAAAAAAAAAGCCGGCATAAGGCTTCATAACAAAAGCACAACTGACAGAGGCTACAATTTACGCTCAAAGCTCATCATTTACGTACTTTCATGTTGTTCCAAACCTTTATGACTTTCTTTATTGTGTGGAACATAGAAGAATATATATATATATTTATTTATTTATTTATTTACAATAAAAGTCAATGGAGTCCAAAGTAATGCTGTTTTGGACCCTATTTACTTTCATAATATGAAAATACCAGAAATATATCTTCTTTTGTGTTCAGCAAGATGAAAAACGGGTTAGTAAATGATAACTAAATTTTCATTTTTGGGTAAACTATCCCTTAAATGGAAATGTACTATCTTTAGAATACATGATGACAATGTTGCATATCAATAGTGTTGATTATTTGTCTATCTTCAGTGTTTGAAAACGTGTTTGAGAGGTCTGGGAAGCTTGGTTTGAACCAAAATTGTCTTTTTTTTTTGAAAATGTGAAAATGTCATTTACCTTCACAGGTACCAGGCTGCATACGGTTATGTCTAAGTTAGTTGGTTTTAACCGGATGTAAAGATCTGAGGCTGTTGTGGCTACAGGACGCACAGTGCAGAGTTACTGTAAGCTAACAGCACAGTCAAGCAGCACCAGGTCGGGCTCAAACATTTCACAAAATACACTCACATCATACAGACGAGCTAAAGATCCTTTGGCTTCTACAGCTTAAAATGTTCAAATCTGTCTCTCACGCACACACGCACCACCGTCGCTTCAGTATTGGACAGTTCTGAAGGTCGACGTGAAAGTGACTTGCACCTGCTTTCATTTCAAGGTCAGGTACGGTTCGATGAATGAGTTTAATGGCGATCCAGGCAGGAGTCTGGAAAGGAAAGTTTAAAGCTGAGTGAGTTTTTATGTGTTTGTGTTGTCTTCCTTTAGTGAAATACTAAGACATCACTGCAAAAAATTCAAAAAATATTTTTGTCATGTTTTCTAATAAAAACAAAACAGAAACATCCTTTAAACAAGGTAAATTTATGCAAAAATAAGAAAAAGAAACTTCCTGAAAAGTTAGTCTTAATACTTGATGAATTCAACTGATGATTGATGAATGAATTGACATTTAATTAAGGAAAATTAAATGTATAAACATTTTTCAAAGCAAGTAAAAATAAATTAATGTTGTTTTAAGGATGTTTAAATATTAAAAAAAAACAAGGCAAAAATACTGCTTAAGAAAACGATTTTTGCACTCTGAAGTCAGGCTTTTATGCTCTCTGTGATATTTGGCGGGCTCCCAGGTGGCAGGGGCTGGTTGAGGGCCCCGTGTCCTTTCTGAATTTGGCTGGCGGTGTAGCAAGTGAGTTCCTGAACCTGCTCTCCTGTTTGTGGCTCCCTGGACACCTTCCACTCCTCCTCTATTTCCACAGCATCTGCTCCTTTCAGTCTCATCTGAGTTTGTACTCTTTGCAAAAGCTCCTCACAGGGAAGCATTCGGTCAGGACTGCATATGCACGTGTGCATCAGTCAGAGTCTGTGTGTGTGTGTGTATGTGTGTGTGTGTGCGAGCGAGTCCTTCTCTCTTCACACCGGGTGAGAGGGGAGCTCAAGTAGGGAGGGGTGGAGCTTAGGGTTTGTCTCCATGGAGATGCAGTCATCCTTGCCTAGCTGGCGACGGGTGGCACTGAAGTAAGCATTCATCAGCTGCATGATCTCAGTCAGCTGAGAGAGAGAGAGACGACTTGAGTAAATTTCCACTGTCAAATGTGTGTCAGACATTTTACACTAGTACAATCACTTGGTTATACTCTTGAAGGCTTTGTGCACCAAACTTAACCCTGGGTTGACAATTTTTAGGTTAGCATGGCTCTAGATTTATTCATGTTTTTGGAGTCTCTTATGCTCATCAAGGTTGCACGTATTTGGTAAAAATGCAATAAATGAAATATTGTGACATATTACAATTTAAAAGGACTGTTTTCTATTGTAATATATTTTTAAAATATAGCTGAATTTAGCTGAATTTTCATCAGCCATTACTCCAGTCTTCAGTGTCACATGATACTTTAGAAACCATTCTAATATGCTGATTTTATGATCAGTGTTGAAACTTCTACTGCTTAATATTTTTTGGAACCTGTGATACTTTTTTCTTTGATTCTTTGATGAATAAAAAGTTAAAAAGAACAGCAATTATTCAAAATAGAAAACTTTTCTAACAATGTAAGTCTTTACTATCACTTTTCATCCATTTAACACAACCTTGCTGAATAAAAGTATTAATTTCTTTAAAAAAAAAAAAGAAAAGAAAGAAAAACCATTTACTGACCCCAAACTTTTGAATAGTAGTGTATATTGTAACACAACATTTCTATTTTGAATAAACACTGTTCTTTAACTCTTTATTTATCAAAGAATCCTTTAAAAAAGTATCACATGTCCCAAAAAATATTAAGCAGCACAACTGTTTCCAACATTGATTATAAATCAGCATATTAGAATGATTTCTGAAGGATCATGTGATACTGAAGACTGGAGTAATGATGCTGAAAATTCAGCTTTGCCTCGCAGGAATAAATTATATTTTAAAGTATATTAAAATAGAAAACTGTTATTTTAAATTGCAATAATATTTCACAAAATTATAGAGAAAAGAGAAAAGTGAATTTAAATGAAATCCAACAGAAATTGACAGCTGCACTTGTTTATCACATTTTTAATTTGTTATACTGACTTCCATACGTGTGATTATGGATCAGAATAGCTATAGGCGAATGTTGATGACTGAGAATGACTGGACGTTATTAACAGTTTATGTGTGAACAGATGTTCTTGCATCACTCAGAAGGCAGGCAGACGTGAAGTCAAGCGGTTTGGTATGAAAACTCAAGAGATTCATCAGGTTCATGACGGCACAGGATGGGTGTGAGCCTGCAGCTAATATCAGGAGAAGATAGACTGGTTGTCTCAGTGAGCACACAGAAACACACAGCTGGTCTGACCTGTATTGTTCGAGTACTGGGAAGAGGTTTGTAGTACGCATGATACAAACACTTTGACGTCAACGTCTTTCTAGTTTAGAGCCATTGAAGGTTACATGTTTCATATGTTAACTCTTAATTTACATAACATACATATGATGTATTTTGTACTTCGGTCTAAAACTCTGCCTTGGCTAGGGGTATATGCTTCCCCTATTATTTCTGGAGTATTTTGGCCTCACAGTATGCATGCATGATGCTAACATGAAGGCCAAGTTGCATCTCACCATTACTGCTAGAGTAAAACTATAAGTAGACCTGCCATCTGTGTATATAAAATGCTCTGACAATAGTTCTATTCGTTAAATGTTTTAGATTTGTTGAAGAAATGTGAGTGGTGTTTCCCTGACGCAAAGATATTGTGAGTGGTTTTGTGGCTGCCAGTATTTTAGTATTATCTATATACTATTATGACATTTACTAATATTTTAAAGGGGTCATATGATGCGATTTCAATTTTTCCTTTCTCTTTGGAGTGTTACAAGCTCTTGGTGCATAAAGAAGATCTGTAAAGTTGCAAAAACTAAAGTCTCAAATCCAAAGAGATATTCTTTATAAAAGTTAAGTCAGCCACACCTACCTAAAACGGCTCGTTCTAACACGCCCCCACATATCTACCTCACTATGTGGGAAGATTTGCATAACGCCGCCCAAATGTTCACGCAAAGAAAGAAGGCGTAACTTTTATTCTCGCTGTAGTATTGTTGTTGCCGCCGCCATGTCCTGAAGACACTTTATGCTTCATTGTTAAAGCGAAACTACTTTGTTTGGTCTTCCAAAAGAGGACGATATCCACTTTGTCATGCCTGAAGCTGATTTAAAGGATTTGCCACTGACGATTCAAACGCTAGTTTTGGGCAGTGTAGAGTAGCACTTGTTGTTTGTCGTTTCTCCGATCACAAATGCAGACATGGTTTTATGTTTACGCGGCGCGATGCAACGCAA